AGTAATCGACAACGTTACTTATATTCGTATTAAAGTAGGGTTTCGAGACTACCAGTAACTCAGTGTAACGAAGTTCTTAAAATTCCATATCACTATACAAACACGGAAGGAACATTTTTTATTAATTTTCTACTGGATAATACATAATTTTTACAAGTATATTGAGGAAATTATAGACAATAAGCTTCGGAAAGTTTGATAAAATGGAGTGTACTATTAAGGACTGGAAGAGTACCTGCCCAACTAATGGAATAGAACTAAATACTCTAGTAAATACTAAATCTAGAATATGATCTGCCAATTTTAAAATCGATGTTTTAAGAAGTTTCCATTAACTTATATACATTACCATTAATGATTACGGCGTAGTGCATGGCTTTAATTACTACTAGTGTTCTGAGAACAATTAACACAACCGTGCAGTTGTAAAGTTTGACAAGCCTTATAGGTTTATCCATTTTCATGGGACTTAGTCCCTTTGATAGAGCATGAGTTCGAGATAAATAATTGCTCAATTCTTTGAAAACCTCAAGCATTGCTCTGATTCAGAAAAGAAATTCTTTTACTTTAGATTCTGCTATACTGAAGGTTCACATTCACACTGAATCCTCAGTATAATTCAATCTTGGCAACAACCCAAATAAATCGGAACACACGAATCAAAGAACCCTATCCCTCATTCTTATATCCTCCCTTTTGAATGAGTCGACTACGAAAATCGATATATATTGTCTTTCTGCATACAAAGAAGCATCGTTAATTCCCTCTTGCTTTAATTTAAATTTCTTCGTCAATTTAATCTTGCCTTGCGTCTAGTATCACTCGATTTTCTGTTCCTTCCAATATAAATGAGCTTGAATTCAAAAACGTTGTAGTGTATTCAGGAGTCAGATTATAAAGTGGATAATATTGGGTAGTGAATTTGACAGAGGTGTTTTAATACTAATTGATACTCTTATATGGACACTTAGAAGTAAATCTCAAATAAATGGGTTTCTAGCTATTTTGACAATTAAGAATGCTAACTATACAACTAGCGAGTTTGGTAGTAGCAAATAATTTCGGTTCGTACATCCAATAAATTAGAAAGTCTACTGGGTGAAATATCATAAGACCTGCATTAA